AACCAGGTGGAAGCCTAGCTCCACCGGTTTTGCCATGGTTGCTTGTGCACTGGGAGTTGAGGTGTTGTCTTGCAGGAACAAGATTTCTTTGGACAGCTTGCTGTGCCTTTTGGCTTTCAAAGCTGCCTTCAATTGGTCCAAAAGTTCAATATAATACCTTGTATTGATGGTGGAACCATTTTGAAGGTAGTCCATTAGCAGCACGCCCTCCTTATCGCAGAACACAGACATCATCACCTTAGTGGCTGATCTTTGCACCCTGAACTTCTTTGGACGAGGAGAACCACGGTACCTCCACTCTTTTGACTGCTCCTTGGCTTCAGGGTTATACAAATAAATCCAGGTCTCATCCATAGTGACCAGTCGATCCAGGAAGTTCTTATCAGTTCGGAAACGCTGATAAAAGGACCGGAAAGTTTTCACTCACATGCTTTTCTGATCTGTTGTCAAACATTTGGGGACCTGCTTTGCAGATAGCATCTTCATGTTCAAATGTTCATGGATAATGAAACAAACACATTCTCGAGAAATCCCCATTATGTCTGCTATTCCTTTAGCTGAAATTTGCCGATTCTCCAGTATGAGGTTGTGTACAACATCGATGATCTCTGGAACAACAACCACTCTTGGTGTGCAGGGACAACTGCATCAGGAGCTCCAATTTTGTTTGCTTTGCATTGAATGTTTTTTGTAGTCCTAAGTTTCAGGGACTCTGCAGATAGGTGGCTTCTATTGGTTGCAATCATAGGGCAAGCCACCTGTCAATTATAGTTAGGTTCCCTAGTCCCGCCCCCTTTTTGGGTTCAGTCCACACAGAGAAACCTTTCATGCAGGACATAATACCAAGAGCTCCTGTAGAAAGCTTCGTCTTCTACAGCTTGGCTGGGGAGATATACAGCCCCACGGCTTGGCTGAAAGATATATAGCCTTACAGCTCCTTCGCTGAGAGACTTCAGTCAGCCATCACTGAAACCTGAACTCCTTTTTCCCTGGAAGTCTACAAAGCTCTGCTTGGTAAGGGTCACTAGCGGAAGCCAGAAGCAGTTGGTACCAGGTGCAGCGGCTCCACGCCAACAGAGGCAAAGACAGACTGCCCTGATTAGAAGTTAAGGATTTCCCTATTAGCTAAAATACAGTTTATGAAGATAGTGCCTGTTCCCTGTGGACAAGATTGAGAGAGAGCAAATAGACTGTTAAGAAAGCTTTAAAGTACCTGTTTGTTTTCATTAATAAAGAACATTGTTGAACCTTTAAGCAATCTAAAAACTCTGTTTTAAGGAAATCCAAGGGCCTTTAATCTGAGGCATCCCTGGCATCCCGTTGGGCACACAGAATTTACGTCCTGTCTACAGTCTTATGCACAGGCCCAGTGTGCGACAGCACACTTGGTTATCCAGGAGATTCCTCATCATTGGTGCTGAAGTGGCCCGTATTAAATTTGGCAACCCAGCTCTTAACTGTAGAATATGAAGGGCATTGGTTCCCCAATGTCTGCAACATATCGCCATGAATATCCTTCATGGAGTTTCCTTGCAGAAACAAGAATTATATCATTCCTCTGCTCTCATTTGCTGTGAATATCACCTTAGACTCTACCATTTTGTTTTCCTGCGTGCCTAAATTACTGTTACCATAAGCTACAAACACAAAATTTTGAAAACATATATTAGACACATAAAGCTTCCATGTGATGAAACATTCATTACTATAGTAACAAAAAAAAAAGAACACAAAACCAAAGACTTATCAGCAGCCCCTCATACAAGGAAATAAAGCTCGTACATCATTCATTCTAGAGAATGCAAAAACAAGCATCTCAAGTATAAAAAAAAGTGGTATGGAGCACAGATGAACATAACATGAAGTGGGTCACTTCCTGGAATTACTGGCAGCACCTGATCTGGATATGAGTATCTGACCTTACCAGAAATTGTGAAGACTAGGGAGTCACAAGACTAGGCAAGTCTTGCCTCTGTCAGGTCTATAAAGACAAACAGCAGCTGGCAAGCTATTCCCCACAACTTGGTTGATGACAACATCAGACAGCTAGTTAGTCAACAAAGGCTACCTTAGGAGACATTATGACACATTGTTTTCTTGTGGGTCTTAAAGTAAATTCTGATATATGGTGACCATAAGGCAAACCCATCTAATGATTTTCTTGACAAAATTTGTTCAAAGGAGCTTTTCTCTTGCCTTCCTTTTGAGGCTGAGAACAGGTTTCCATGGCTGAGTAGGGATTCAAATTATTATTATTATTATTATTATTATTATTATTATTATTATTATTATTATTATTATTATAATTATGCCACACTTTTTCCTCTCCACAAAGAAGTCTCAAAGCAGCTGTGAATTCACTGTTGAAACACAATAAAATGTTCAGTTCAGTTCATTTCTGTGGTTATAATTGTGAAGAGGGTAAACCAATTCTTCCTTTGGCAGCAGGACATCTCAGTCTAGCTTTGTGAATATTGCTTCAAGTACACATTATTTGGTTTCATCTTTGTTCACACTTATTAAACACCAAACATGAAATAAAGAGGTCAGATAGAAAAGGTTAGGTAAATACGGACATTTTATTGATCTAGAACAATTTATTGTTGGATTCCTGAGACACCCACTAAGGGTGAGGGGGGGGGCAACCTGATGTGAGTCCTTTCCATCACCCAAAGTTGCTCTGCCGCTTGTTCTAGGGGAAATAAATAATTTACACTATCTAGGTGTGCTTAGGACACTTTGAGTCTACTTTCTTCGCTCCAGATAAACAGAGTTAGATGGAATAGCAGGAAATGGGAATTCCTAATCTTCTGCAGAAACAATTAGGCTTTTATAATACTGACATTACTGGCTAGGGAGAATAGAAGGGGAAATATGGCCTACATAGACGGAATACTTGCAGAAATAAGCATATGGCAAGTAAACAATAAAATCTGCATATAATGTGATACTTAGTAAAACATGCAGCTTTCAGAATTATACCTGAAGATAAAAACAGCATTTCTGAAGTTGAGCGGGAAGAATATCAAGCAGAAAATCTGAAATGTAAATCACATTTTTATTCAATTTATGCCAAAAAGAGAAAGTGCTAATTATGAGTAATCAAATCAAAGCTACTAATGGGGATGAATCATAATAAAATAATAAGAAAATTATAGAGACATATCTGTTAATATTAAACATGCAAAACCACAATACATGGAAAATACAAGAGTAAAATATACATTGTAGCATTCCTAGTAACTGCATGAATTTTTTAAAATTACAATGCAAAAAGGGCAGCGGCCCTCTACAGAGTTAACAACACAATTTGATTGTCATACTAATCACAGGTAACAGGTAAGATATATAGTAAACAAAAACCCTGTGTGCTACCATTTTCCTCAAAGGGAGGGGGTTTTCTTCAAATAAGGCACCTCTTAAAACCAAATTACATTTGATGTAGGAGATATTAGTAGCAACTCAATGGAAATATATTGGTGCCATTAACTTTTAACTATTATCAGGTTCCTCAACTGAAATCACAACATAACCTGAAAAGTCAGTGGATTCAGAAGACAAGGGGGAATGCTGTTGCTTTTTGTACATTAATTGGTTTGCAGCATGGAGGTATTGGCAGGAGACAAAAGAAAGGTGGCTGGGTAAAAACAAAGAGAGATTGGGAGAGAACACAATATGGCTTAAGAAATCTATGACAATAAAAGAGCAAGAAATCTAGACAGCCACACATATATTGAAAGTGGAAATGTGTAAATCACTCAACATTTATTACAGTGGAATAACAAGGATTCTGGTGAACGATATAAGGAATTCAAAATAGATAATCCTAAGAATGATAAGCACATGAGAAACCCTAATCTTGAAAGGAAAGTACTAAAAAAATGAAAGCAGTTCCAATAATTTAAAAATGGTAAATAAAGAATAATACCATTTGGACCAAAAACTTACGGAAGAAAATGCTAGGAAGTACTCTCCTGTTAAATAACAAGACCACATGGTCAGTGGAACTGTAGTTCTGGGTCTGAACTAGTACTTATTCTCAGGAGGGATACCAAGTAATTAGCAATCAATGAAGCAGATCTGTAGTGGAGAACACAGATTTCTGGAGGTGAAATAATTGCTATGTGCTTGAGTCAAAAAGGAGCTGCCCCACAATTACTTTGCAACACACAAACATCAGGAATACCTTACATTCAATACATTTATTCTATATACTCCATCAAGTGTGATGACCACACACAATATCTGCTACACCTTGTGTACTCTGAGAAGCTTGCTGCAGTAAAATTCAAGGTAGATGTGGAATGTCACACTGAACATATAGGAAAATTCTGAACAAAATGAAGAGTTATAATCAGATTTGTCTCCTTTTGAAGTATGTAATTCCAAATTTCTGTCAACTGAATTTCATGTTCACATGGCATTGGACAAACCATTGTATCCAATTAGCTTGTATTCATAGAAACACCAGCAATTTATTACAAAAAAGTTACATCATGAAAAATTCATCCCAAAGAAATATATTCCGAGAAGACAGAATTAACATTTATTTGTATTTTGCTTTCTCCCCATACTTTAAGTATCTCATAATGACAACACAAAAGCCAATGAAATCCCTTCAACACTTTAAAACAAACCAATCAAAAACAGCAGTAGTACAAGTTGGCCCTAAAACTACACCATAAACCTTTATACATCATCACAGTAATCAAAATATGAATTCATAAAACACCTGGAGAATCAGCTCAATCTTCTCGATGAATTTTGGAAGAAACTAACCTTGCACATCTGAATGAACATGTGCATTCATTCTCCTTCACAGGAAGATGATGTTATTACAGTTCTGGTGGCAACTTAATTGTCACTGATCCCTTTTATGTCATTCTGCATCTTAATGTAATAAATGTCCCATATGTAGATGTGCTGGATGCCAAGACAGATATGGAAACTAGCATGATAATAGAACAGAGTCATTGGTGTTTTAATTTTATTTATTATTATTTTTTTTAAAAAAAAACAGCAATATATCCCTTGGAAATGTGAAACAATGTACAAACACCTGAAGTTAAAATCGATATTGATTTCCCCTGACCAGTGATAAATAACAACAGAATACTGAGTAAATAACAAACGAGTGCTTCTGTTTTATAGCCTGGTAATTCTCAAAGTTTAGGACGATATGTAGTGAGAGTTTAACCTCTATTTTTCTCCTCCCTCTGATAAGAGTAACATGTAGTTTAATTTATTCCAACTCTTTTTTGCTGACCTTATAACTTATTAAATAATCTTTATGAAATCACATTCCTTTGTTAGCATTCTCCTCCCCACTTTCCCACCCTACTCTGTCTTTGTTCTTCTCCAAAGTATCATTAAAAAACAATGCTTTGATCCTTTGTTGTAGCTTTCCCCAGGGCTCCCAGAAATCACAAGAGAAGCACAAAAGTAATATGATTAGCAAAGTATATTCAGGTCTTTTGTTCAACTCAATGTCTGTTTCAATGTACACTGAGGCTATGTTGATTCTATTCTGTTTTACAACAGAATTTCATTGTGTGTTGGTATTTCATGGAGAGCCATTAAAATCAGTAGTATGTATTAGTTATAACTTATTTAAATCCCATTTCTTTTAATGGATCTGCTTTAACTCCAGTTGGATGTAAGCCTCCATTAAAGGAGATTACATAGCCCAATCTTTCTCTATGATTAGCATGTATCTCCTTTGGCCAAGACAGTTAACTGAGAAAACCTTGTTTTGTTTCAATACAGTTTGAAAAGTTCTACAGCTTAAGATAAATTCCAAACTGTGAAATGTTGTCAGGATTTGCATTTCACTCAGAGGATAATAAAAGTAAAGTATTGCAGTTGAAGAATGATCACACATAGGAGGAGATGGCATGGATAGTGAAAAGGGATCATACTAAATTAAAAGTCAATACATTAAAAAGACAATAAAAAGTCAGAATACATGGTACAGGATGACTGAGATTACCTCACATTTCACTTTCTAAGAATGACAATGTGAATGTACTCCTTCATTACCTGCTCCCCTCAAATGTTTCATAATAAATTTACTGCTATTTGAAAATAGAATTGCAAGATTTTTCAGATTTAAAAGCAAAAGAGCTGTTATGTCGCAAAACTGAGTGTGAATATCTGCACTTCCAAACTAATAAAAATAATATTTATTGGTTTGGAAAAGAAACAGGACATCTACGTTAGGAAAGAGAAATGGATGAAATGATGTAAATGGAGGACTGTCAGAAAGGGAAGAAAGGGCACAGCATTACTTGCCACCTATAGAGAACATTGCTTTGTAATGCAATTAGTGGTTTTGATCCTTCATCCTGTTTGGGATCATAGCAAGGAAAAAAAGTTAAAAATCCCATAGTTCTGAAATTGTCTCTTTGTAACTGCCACTTTTTCTTCATTGCAAATTGCATGTATGATGTTAAGGCTAATTTGGCTACAATAAACTAAAAAGTGTTTGTCTCTAGTATCAGATGAAGTCAACTAGAGCCTCATTAAATGGAAAGAACATTTTCCCACCACTTGCAAGGCCATGCCTAAAATCCCAAGACTCCATTCGACATATATAAAATAATACCCTTTGTAAGAGAGTGGGTAAAAGAGGGGTTTCATTTCAGGGCTGGGAGACGCAAGAAAAGACCTCACATCTCTCCTGGCAATTGTTCAGCTCTTCTTTCCCTGTGTGCAACACACACAGAGAAATATATATACAAAGAATTAAGTAGAATCAACTTGAACCATAATTAATTACACGTAGGAAAGCAGCTAATGAAACTAATCAAAGTACACAGTGTGTTAATGAAAGTTAGCAGCTGGGACCAAATTATTGCATTAGGCATAGCCAGAGAGTAACTGAAAATACTTTCTATCCAGAGCTAATGGCTTATGGCATTGTTCAATATACAGCTACTGAAGAATTACTGAGGCAAAGCTCCAGCAATCCTGTCAGCAATAAGGATAGTCAACATGTTTAATTGCACTCATGCTACTTGCCTACATTAGCAACTGGTGAATTTTCTCACAATTATTTTTATATGGCATTGAATCGTTTAATTTTAAAGCTTAAGTACAAAGGTAATTGCATGTATGCTTGAAATGTTTTCTGCTTATAGGTCGACATTTGCTAACAATTAGCACAATATTTTACAGCGGTGTTATCTTCATATGGAAATGGTTAAACATGTTTATGTATTTGTGTCTAATCATCAGATTCTTATTTTTCTGGATATCTTAAAAGCAATACACACAGTTCAAAGATAGACAGGCTATACATTTATAACAAAATAGAAGTGTTGTCTGTACAATTTAAATAACATGTCACAACTGGATTTATGTTTGCTGTCCATATTATTCATTACCTCCTAAACCAGGATACTGTAGTACAGGCAATGCAAATCCAGAACTGCCAATCACAGGCAGTGAGTACTGGAGTTTCACTCTGGGTATCTTCATATCTTTAACTTTCCTTCTGGATTGTTCAAATCTCTCATTAGCCACTGCATGAGCTAGACATTTATAAAAATATTTTTCATCCATATTTTGTCTTTGTAACATCTTTTGTCTGGGGAAGGAAGTGGAAAACAAGACAGTTTCAAAATCTTTCATTGCTTGTAACTGCATTTGACTGGCAGTCAGATCTCAAAATCTTGAATGTATTCAGCATGAAGACATTTTATACTTTCTTTATAATCTATAGGACTTGGTAACATGTATAAATTCAATTATTTTTACTTCTCCATTGAAAAAGTATATTGTATTACAAATTATCAGCTCTCATAAAGGATATACCAAAACGGCAACTTAGACATTTTAAAAGAACACATCGGGCTGCTTCTTTTTTTAAAAAAATACTTTAAAAAATATGATGGTACAAATGTTACTAAAAAGGATGCAGGCTTGGCTACTTTTTTTTTTTTTTGCAAAATGTCACTTTACCAGATCTTCGATTCAGTGAAGTCAATGATCATAAAATATGGGTTGGGTTGCCAGGATTTCAAAATAGCAGTAAAGGACCGTAGAAATTGCAATTTTGGTGTGTCAAGAGAGGCAATAGATGCCTGGAGAACAGAGACATCTGAAAGAGGAAGATGACTGGCACCCGGCAGAAAACATCACTAACTAGGCTTTCAGAAAGTGCAAACCAGTGGCTCTCTTGGAAGAGAAGATCAATGCACTGTAGCTTAATGTTGAGACTCTTGAACATAGGGATCCTTAAACTTTTTAAGCAAAGGGCTGGTTCATGGTTTCTCAGACTGCTAGGGACCTGGACTATAGGTTAGAAAAAAATGAATGAATTCCTATGCACACTGTATATATGTTCAATGTATTGTCGAAGACTTTCATGGTCAGAATCACTGGGTTGTTGTGGAACATGGCCACAGTGCATGGAAAACTCAGAACAACCCTGTTTATATGTTATTCGTAGTGCAAAAAATATATGAAAGAACAATACAATATTTAAAATGAAGAAGCAGTTTAACCAACATAAACTTACCAATATTCTATGGGAAGTGTGGGTCTACTTTTAGCTGATGAGATAGTCAAGTAAATTAGGATTGTTATTGTTGTGTGCGCCCAAGTCGTTTCAGATGTAGGGTGACCCTAAGTCTAAAGTTCAGAGCCAGGGCCAGGAAATGACCTTAGAAGGCTAAATCCAGCCCACAGGCCTTAGTTGGGGATCCCTGCTTTAACACATGACAGAACACAAACACCTTGGGGACAGAATAAAGGGAGAATTGATCAAACTCCCAAGTATTTCTGTTTTATTTTAAGCAGAGTGAAGAGATAAGTATATGCTTGAAATGTTTTCTGTTTATACGCCAACATTTGTTGACATACTGCCAGACCACGCGCAAGGGATTAGAATCCACTCCAAGTGAGAACTCGCTTTTGACATCTTCCTGAAATGGCTGTTACAATTTGTTCATAAATATCAAATTGACTATATTAATGTTAACTTGTTTGTGTATTTCCATGTAAAATTAACATATTGTCAAAAACTACATGAGACACACATTTCTATATGAAGGGCACACACTCTGAAATAAAGGGTCTGGGGGCATTTTGTGCAGGCCATATACAAGGGAAAGATTTACAGCCCTCAAATAGGAGACATCCCTGATAATAAGAGACACCTAGCCACCCTAGTTTTTAGGCACATGTTGCAGTCACTGTTCTGAAGCTAAGGTAGTCTGGAATTGGTTGGTGCCTTGATGGAAAACTTCCCGAAAACCCTCTAAATTAACTGTGTTTACCTCTATAATAGAAGCATGGTGTGATGTTTACATACAAATACATAGCCTTTTGGAAGTGGATGATGATAAGGAAATGGACTAGATGAGCTGTAGTTTGTGCTGGTGGGTCCAATGCCATATAATGAGCTAATTCTTATCAAACAAAAATCAAAATGCTAAATTTCTTTAAGAAAACAATTCTGTATCTGTGCCATGATGTTATGGGTAAGATCCAGAATACCAGCAGTGGAAGACGATAGTCAAAACCTGGTTTTTCTCCCTACTTTTGCTCCCTTGGCCACAGATTGCAAAAATCTTCAAAGGAGCAAATATCAGTCAAGACTGATATTTTCTTCATTAACTTACTTCACTGTTAAACTGTAATCAATTATGTAAAGATAAAACAAATACATTCACATTTGCATTTATGCTTGATTTTTATGCCTCAGTTTCATTAACCAAAGTAACAAGAAATGTGGAAAAGACTGAAAATGAATTTAATTTGTTCTCAACAAAACCCAAAAGCAGCAAAAATGGAATTCTAGCTCGCGTACATTCCTCTTATCTGTACAGGCAACCAAATGTAGACGGACTGGAGAAAGATGTCTGTCAGTTCACATTACACTTAACAAAATATCACTTATTGACTTTAGGTTAGCAAATGGAAACTTCCTGAAGTTGTAGTGTTGCCCACCTGTCACTAATATCATGAATTAAAAACAAAAAGATGGTTCAGGTATAGTTCCTAATTTGACATACAACATTTTTTTGGAGCAAAGATGAAAAAAAAGCTAAAATATTGCAACTTCTGGGGGCAAAGAACTAACAAAATGTAAAAACACAAAACACTACAGAATTCTAACAAAGTGGTAGCAAACAGAAAAGATTATATAACATACATAGGACACAATGCAGTTCACAGCAGAAGTAAAAACAAAGTTCCACTAAATTATTGTAATACTTTCAAAAATATGAAATGCAATATTCCATTTAAACACTACCAAATTAGAATAATTTTAAAAACATTTGAAGAGTTTTTCAATATATGATTACAGATGCAATAATTATATATACCTAGAAGTGGAATATATAATCACTGGCAAAGGAAGAATTATGTGAATTGGCTAAAATGAACAAACTTACTATGTTAATTAAGGAGAAATCTTTGAAAATGTTAAGAAAGATTGTGGCGCAGCTGGCTGGTAGTAAGCTGAATTAAGATCACTACTGACTGGAAGGTCATGAGTTTGAAACCAGCCCAGGTCGGAGTGAGCTTCTGACCAAAATTGTGTAGCTTGTTGTCAACCTTTGCAGCCTGAAAGACAGTTGCATCTGTCAAGTAGGAAATTTAGGTACCACTTATGTGAGGAGGCTAATTTAACTGATTTACGAGGCCATAAAAATCTCCAGCAAGTATGCAAAGAATGAGGAAGTACTTCATCAGTGTCACAAACGGATGGTGAAGCGACAGCTCCCCTGGTGGCCAGAAGCTGGAATGTTAAATAACCTCTGAGTGTCTGTCTATATATGTTGTATGTCTATGGCATTGAATGTTTGCCATGTATATGTACATTGTAATCCAAGCTGAGTCCCCTGCGAGGTGAGAAGGGTGGAATATAAATACTGTAAATAAATAAATAAATAAATAAAATTTATAGTATAAAAAAGAGAAGGCTGACGAATATTTTAATACGCACTAAGTAGTGGCACAGTGGGAAGGTAACGGCACTCCATGCAGTCATGCCAGCCACATTACCTTGGAGATGTCTATGGACAACACTGGCTCTCTGGCTTAGAAATTGAGATGATCATCAACTCCCAGAGTTAGACACGACTAGACTTATTGTCAGGGGAAAACCTTTACCTTTACTTTAAGAAAGTAATTGAGCCTCCAGTGGCACAATGGGTTAAACTGCTGAGCTGCTGAACTTACTGACTGAAAGATTAGCAGTTCGAATCCTGGGAGCGGGGTGAGCTCCCGCTGTTAGCCCTAGCTTCTGCCAACCTAGCAGTTCAAAAACATGCGAATGTGAGTAGATCAATAGTTACTGCTTCAGTGGGAAAGTAACGGCCACTCCATGCAGTCATGGTGGCCACAGGACCTTGGAGGCCAGCTCTTTGGCTTAGAAATGGAAATGAGCACCACCCTCCAGAGTCAGACACAACTACACTTAATGTCAAGAAGAAACTTTAGCTTTCAGAAAGTAATTATTAAGAGTATGGATTAGATATTTCCTTTTGCAACGCCTTTATGGATTTTGCAACATGAAGTAAAGGTGTAGAAAAATGTTATTGGGAATTAAAATGGAAGAGGATACAGTGAAAAATGTATGATAAAATGGAAATGGAATATTGGTTCTTGGTTGCTTGTCGAACAGTGGGAAAAATTATGATTGAAAAATCTGAAGTTCACCTTAAGCTAAGATTTAATTTTTTTTATAAAAATGATATACATGTGGTCTGTGACTCCAGAATTTTTTTCATATCTGAGAATGTTGAGAATAACTGTTGGAAATGTAAAGAAAAATCAGTCATTTTATCACATGTGGCAGACATACAAGAAAACCCAGAGATACTGGACTGAGGTCCATATGATGATGGAAGGTATAGTGAAACAAATCCAGAGTTATATTTGTTGGGAATGTTAGATGAACAATTGGAGATGAAATATGGGAGAGTTCTTCAATATATGATTACAGCTGCGAATACTGTGTATACTCAGAAGTGGAATATAGATTCACTGATAACAGAAGATTGGCTAAGTTATGTGAAATGGCCGAAATGGGAAAACTTGTGATATTAACTAAGGAGCTATCTTTGAACAATTTTAAGAATGTTTGGGATATATTAATTTATTAAGTTAATCAATTTAATGAAACATAAATGGGGAAATGCACGGATCTCAGTAGTAGGATTAGATACTAGGTATAAGCATGTTAGTTATGAGTTAGCAACAGCCAATTGTTACAAGAAAGGGAGTCACTTGTATACCAACCCCCAACCCATATACACACTTTAAATTATTAATTTGTGTTGTAATTACACACACACACACACACACACACACACACACATATATATATGAAACTGTTTTAATACATACTTCTCCATTTGAATTGTTTTATCTCTCTGTTTGCGCTTTTTTTCTTCATTTGTTATTCCTTTAACAAAATGCTTCTTTTCACGCACAAATTGGTCGTGTTTTCTCCCACCATCAAGTCTTATTAAACCTTTTGACAAAGAAGTATGCTGAGTGCTGAAATGTTGAATGAATGTGTTGTCTGCAGCCTTCCTCTCCTTGTTCTCTAAAAAACTGTTATACTTGAGTTTCATTTTACTAATTAATATTGCCTTTTCCTGTTTGTGTTCTTTCAAAATATGATTAGTCATTGTTTTGTCGTCTTCATATTTCTTCTGAACATTCTCTTTTTTATCTTCATATAACCGGCTAACGTATTCTTTAGCTTCACTTTTGGCCATTAGCAACCGCAAAGCTTCCCGCTCCTTTTTAACCTGGATGTCCAATTTATGACTCTGCCAATATGCTTTGTCAATGGCACACAAGGGGAGGAGTCTTACAGATCCAAATGCTTTGGCAAAAACCCTCTTGTCAATGCTTCCTGGTTCAAGCATAGGCAAGGTTTGTGGTACAGGACGTGCGAAGTATCGCATATGATAGACACCATCGAAAAATCCTTTTTCTTCATCTTGATATCGTTGCATCTCCTTCCTCAATGAATAAAAAGGCATTCTGTGCACTGGAAGTCTAAATGCAGTTGCCATCTCATCTTCCATTTCAGTTTTTGTCTCATCCAAGAGCTCTAAAAAGAAGTAGTGTAATGTCATATCATTATTTCCCAAGGTATTTTCAAGTTGCCAACATTTTGTCACACAAGTATACCTCAGTCAACAAAGTACATTTGTTCCTCATTCTTCAGAGCTTGAAGGCTACACTCCCTACCTACACTATTCGTTCCTTTTTAAAAATGGAAAAAAATGTTGAACAAAATTATCTGGCACTCATTTTGATGGCTTCTCACTAGAATTGTTGAAATCACTTCAGACATTTTATTTTATTATTTCTAAAAGAGATTATGAATGGGATACTTTCAAGAGAATCTTCTTTCTCCTTGGATATCTATGTTTTGACATGAGCAATCAAGGGGTGGGGGGAACAATCTACAAGTTAATACAAGAAAAATATCAATATAAGGTAGATTTGTATGCTGATTAACCTTTTAAATCTCTGGTCTAATATTTCTATTCCAGAGGCAATAGAATAGGTTTGGGTCCTTTCAATTCATATATACCAGTGGTTTCCAACATTTGGTCCTCTGAGTTTTGTGGACTTCAGCTTCCTGAATTCCTAAATCCTGGCCAGGCTGGCTGGGACTTCTGGGAGCTAATGTCCCTACTTATCGATATTATTAATTGGTCTAAATCAGAAGCTATGACTCTTGGGGTAAAAGAATCACTTAGCCTATTTTCTAATCATTAGCTTTATTGGAGTCCAGAACAATAATAGATTAAATAATATTGGTCCTTCAGGATATTACTCATATTAATAAACTGAATTTCTTAGCATTGTTGGCTGGTGGGCAAACTTGGCCCTCTAGGTGTTTTGAACTTCAACTCCCACAATTCATAACAGCTGGTAAGCTGGCTAGGATTTCTGGGAGTTGAAATCCAAAACACCTAGAGGGCCAAAGTTTGCCCATGCCTGGTGTAACTCAAGTATATGGGAGACCATTCTAGTGTATCATCATTGTTTTACCACTGCTATTGTCCATTCTTTAAATTTTCTCAAACAGCCACAAAAGTTGGAAGATAAGATTATTGAAGAAGAAGAAGAAGAAGAAGAAGAAGAAGAAGAAGAAGAAGAAGAAGAAGAAGAAGAAAAAGAAGAAGTTATTGTTTATTTTTCTACACCGCCTCTATCTCCCCGGGCGGCTTACATGGGGCCCAAGCCCAAGGCAGAATACAATTAAAAACAAATCAATAACAATTAAGACAGCATAAAAAAGCATAAAACAGCATAACAATAATAGCTAGCAACATCAATAACAGCAGACTAATTTTGGAAGGGGGGGGGGAGAAAGCCACTGCATGAGCTGGTTAAAGGATAAGGTGGTTTAGTACGGTGGATAACAATGTATAATGGCATAGGAAATATCATGGAAACAGAGCAAATTAAGAGGATCAGAAACAATTCAGTTAATATAATATAGGACATCAGATTAAATGACGATTCAGGTCATGATACAGGTCGATGTCATAGGAGTCGTCAATTGAAAGCACGACAAAACATCCACGTCTTTAATTCCTTATGGAATGTGGCTAGGGAGGGTGACAGCCTAATCTCCCTGGGGAGGGAGTTCCAGAGACGGGGGGCCACCACCGAGAATGCCCTCTCTCTCGTCCCCACCAACCGTGCCTGAGACGGGGCAGGAGTGAGAGAAGAACATCCCCGGAAGATGTTAAGGAACGCGTGGGCTCGTATGGAAGGAGGCGGTCACACAGATAGGCAGGTCCTGAACCGTTAAGAGCTTTATAAGTGATAACCTGCATCTTGTATTGGTACCGGAAACTTATCGGCAGCCAGTGGACCTGTTTAAACAGGAGGGTTGACCGCTCCCTGTAACTTGCTCCAGTTAACAATCTCACCGCCGACCTTTGCACCAGATGTAGTTTCTGAACCATCTTCAAGGGCAGCCCTATGTATAATGCATTAAAGTAGTCTAATCTTGAGGTAACTAAGGCATAGACCACCACGGTCAAGTCAGACTTCTCGAGGTATGGTCGCAGCTGGCGCACAAGTTTTAACTGTGCAAAGGCCCAGCCACTGCTGACACCTGAGCATCAAGCATCAGCGCTGAATCCAAGAGGACCCCCAGACTGCGGACCTGTGTCTTCAGGGGAAGTGTAACCCCGTCAAACACAGGTTGCCACCCTATACCCGTTTGGCCGAGCGACTGACCTGGAGGACCTCTGTCTTGTCAGGATTCAATTTCAACCTGTTATCCCTCATCCAGCCCATCACAGCGGCCAGGCACTGGTCCAGGGCCTGAGGGGCTTCCTTGGATGTTGGTGGAAAGGAGTAGTGTTGTGTGTCATCTGCATAGAGATGACAACGAACTCCAAAACTCCGGATGACCTCCCCCAGCAGTTTCATGTAGATATTAAAAAGAATGGGGGAAAGAATAGAACCTTGCAGGACCCCACAGGTCAAAGGCCAGGGGTCTGAGCTGGTATCCCCCAGCTTCACCAACTGGGTGCGGCCCTCCAGAAAGGACCAGAGCCACTGCAATGCAGTACCCCCAAGACCCATTCCGGAGAGCCGTCCCAGAAAGATACCATGATCGATGGTATTGAAAGCCGCTGAGATGTTCAGAAGAACCAACAAGGTCACACTCCCCCCGTGTTTGGTCGGGAACACTCCGAGATTTCCGCCAGATGCACTCTAGTCTCCATCTCAATAGCTTCATCAATGCCAGATCCTCAGAGAACCAAGGAGTTGGATTGACTCTGTACAGCGAGAGGGGATGTTCAGGGTCGATCATGTCTAACGCCCTGGCTATCTCGGTGTTATAGAGATCCATCAGGGATTTGAAAGGATCACCAGCTATCATGACAGACAGATCCCCAAGAGAAATCAGGAATCCTTCCAGATCCATAAGTCTCCTGGAGCGGACCATCTTAATAGGTCCTCCACCCCTGCGGAGGTTAGAGATAACTGATAGTCTAAAACTGACCAGATAATGGTGGGTCCATGACAATGGAAGAATTTTTTGCTCTTCCACACCAACGTTATCTCCGTTTGTCACAAATACTAGAGCTAAAGTATGCCCCGCCTGATGAGTAGGCCCTGATATCATTTGGGACAGGCCCATGGTTGTCATGAAGTCCTGAGCTGCACCAGACAAGGTGGCCTCAGCATGAATAACTTGAATAACGTTAGTAACTTTCCTCCTTACTGGGCAGAAAGTTAACAGCGTTTCTCCACAATACTGAATACATATCAGAGAACATTACTTTTGTGTTGTACAGCAAATAGTGGTAATAGGGTGAGGTAGTTTGAGTATTCTCCCTGCTTCTAAACCTCCTAGGCCCCTTCTACACTGCCACATAAAAAACAGATTATCTGCTTTGAACTGGATTATATGGCAGTGTAGAGACTCATATAATCCAGTTCAAAGCAGATAATGTGGATTATCTGCTTTGATAATCTGAATTATAGGGCAGAGTAGAAGGGGCCCCAATTGCTTCCAATACTGCTACACTGCTAACCTGGAAACAGGGAGAGAATGAATAAAGTGTTTCTTTCTATTATTTTTTATAAACATAGCTAGTTGGCAGCAGTGTTTCTCCTTTCTCTCTAGTTGAATCATCCTTCTCTTTTTCACTACCCTTGCCAATCAGTAGTTGGGAGCATATGATAAGTGTTATGCCAACTTCATGGTGGGTGTTATGTCTTTAAATGGCAACACTGGCAACGGTAACATCTTTTGGAAAACCGACATTTGGGCTTATCTCCTTGTTCATTCCCTGGGGAACCTGCACATCCATTTCAGAACAAAGATGTGTCAGGGGGAAAAAACAGAGATATAAAGTGTAGCACCCAGGGTCTTTTTTAAAAAAGCATGCACACATTAGTTATTATCATTATTCTTTCGCCATGCCCTCTGGACTGTGAAATCCCAGCTTAGGGCCCTGTGGTCTGTGTTTAGTAGTGCCACAGAAGTAGATCCTATGTTCCATAGCCAGTTGTGATTTCTCGGGTTCCATTTAGATCCCACTTAACCATGACATCTAGGAACCTAAACATTAATGATGCCTTTTGAAACATTTCCAGCATTTGCAATGGGATTTCTGTAAGCTATTTTACACCAGCCTCACCTGTGCCATTTATTTCTCCTGGACAATTTTAAAAGTCCAAGTGGCCAGAAAGAAAAACAACTATAAAGAATAACAGTAATAGATAGGGTCAATATACAGCAACTTGATTCTAGCATTATTCTTCTTCATCAGACAACATTTTATCTAGATAATAATTATGAATCAACCATATTTATTTATTTATTTATTTACTTTGCTTATATACCGCTGTATCTCAAGCCCGAAGGCGACTCACA